CTGAACTTGTCACAGTCTTTTTAACACACTTAACAGCAAGGGAAGCTGGGAAATGCAGTGTAACTGTGTGCCCAGGAAGAGAAAACCTAGGAGAACGGCCACCCCTACCTATGCACATATTTTTAAAAATTAAAAAATAGGCTGGGCACGGTGGCTCAAGCCTGTAATCCCAGCACTTTGGGAGGCTTAGGCAGGCAGATCATGAGGTCAAGAGATCGGGGACTATCCTGGCCAACATTAGTGAAACCCTGTCTTTACTAAAAATACAAAAATTAACTGGGTGTGATGGTGGGCACCTGTAATCCCAGCTTCTCAGGAGGTTCAGGCAGGAGAATCACTTGAACCTGGGCGGGGGGGCAGAGGTTGCAGTGAGCCAAGATCGTGCCACTGTACTCCAGCCTGGTGACTAAGTAAGACTCTATCTCAAATGTTTTTTTTTCCCAAATAAAAGGAACTGTAATGTAAAGGAGAAATCAAAGGAAACTAATTATAGTAAAGTAATGTATCTTCCAATAGTATGTATTTCCACATGCATTTCTAGCTACATGAGAATAATGAAAGAGGTGCTTGCCCCTCAATTTGGAGTCACCATGAATGTGATGGGTGCCAATGCTGGGGTGTGGTGGGGTGATCAGATACCTTCAGTGACTTTAATAAGACTTCACAATTTCTTTATGATTATTTGTAAAAACAGAGTTAAAGTCTAGGTTCAAAGCATTTTATCTTATTTACTTTTTTTTTGAGATGAAGTCTCACTCTGGTTCCCCAGGCTGGATTGTAATGGCGTGATCTTGGCTCACTGCAACTTCTGCATCCTGGGTTCAGGCGATTCTCCTGCCTCAGATGCGCCTGCAGCCACACCTGGCTAATTTTTGTATTTTCAGTAGAGAAGGAATTTCACCATGTTGACCAGGCTGTTCTTGAACTCCTGACTTTAGGTGATCCACCTGCCTCAGCCTCCCAAAGTGCTGGGATTACAGGCTTGAGCCACAGAACCCAGCCCAGAGCATTTAAAATGGATTTTTTAGTTATATTAAGCCTCTGGTAAGACATTTGGAAGTCCCGTGGCATTTGGGGGCAATTCTTAGTTTTGTTATGTAGAATGGGTCATTTAGTATCCCAGGCCCAGAGATTTCCAAAGTGCCTGCCAGGTAATGGTTCTGCCATTTCCCCAGTTAAAACCTTGTGGGGAGGAGACAGGGAAAATAGGTACTGGGAGGCAAAGAGCAGCAGGAAGATGCTCTGCACCCATCCCCATCACTGGTCTTTGCCATCTTCCTGTAGGATTTCCCATATTCTCAATTTACCTTCGTGTGAAGCTTCGTGCCAGCTATCACCAGGGTCCTTTCAGCAGTCACCTATGTACCCCAAGGACTTAATGTTTTCTGCACTAAAACTAGTTGTCTTTCACTTAATGAAAAAGTACAGAATCGTACTAGGAGGATTAAGTTTATTATTTAAGTTACCATTTTACTTAGTACCAAATAATTGGGGTTTTTTGTATTCCTTGAATGGGACTTTGGAATAATCGTTTTCTTTCGATTGCATTACTATGTTTCTTCAGAAGGTGGCACTAGATGCCATGTTGTGGGTTGCTCCATAGTTGTAAGTCCAGCTCTGTTTCCTTGATGCTTCTGCCTCTTAAGACTAACATTCGACAGGGGGTGGGCGTCCACAGTTAACCTTAGGGCCTCTCTGCTGTTCAGTATTGGTAGTAGCCAAGATAGAAGAAAACTTCAGTTTTTTTCATTTAGGTGGGGATAGCTTTAATATAGTCAACTATAAAAAGGTCAAATTGGCCAGGCACAGTGGCTCACGCCTGTAATCCCAGCACTTTAGGAGGCCGAGATACACAAATCACTTGAGGTCAGGAGTTCAAGACCAGCCTGGCCAACATGGTGAAACCCTGTCTCTACTAAAAATACAAAAATTAGCCTGGCGTGGTGGCATGTGCCTGTAATACCAGCTACTCAGGAGGCTGAGGTAGGAGAATCGCTTGAACCCGGGAGGCAGAGGTTGCAGTGAGTGGAGATCGTGCCACTGTGCCCTAGCCTGGGAGACAGAGCGAGACTCCATCTCATAAAAAATAAGCCTGGGCATGATGGCTCACACCTGTAATCCCAGCACTTTGGGAGGCAAAGGTGGGCGGATCACTTAAGGTCAGGAGTTTGAGACCAGCCTGGCCAAGACAGTGAAACTCCATCTCTACTAAAAATACAAAAATTAGCCTGGCTCAGGAGGCTGAGGTAGAGAATCGCTTGAACCCAGGAGGCGGAGGTTGCGGTGAGCCGAGATCACGTCACTTTACTCCAGCCTTGGCAACAGAGCGAGACTCTGCCTCAAAATAATAATAATAAAAGGTAAAATTAAATGGCATAATTACATTCTAATTAATATTTTAGGCTGTTTCAGTTCCTTGAAATGTCTTAGCCATTCCCTCAGCAGATGTTGATTACACAATTATTACAGTGTCATAATGCATCTAAATTTAGCTTTCTTTCTTTTTTTCAACCCCTCCACCCCCTTAGCTTTCTTAAAGACACAAATTATCTGAATTCACATTTCTCTGAAACTTCCCATGGTTGTGAACCTGCAGAGAGGAAGAATATTATTAGATAAAAGCTTTTAATATCCTCATCAGTCACTGTAATGAGGTACTCAATATACCTGTCTTGATAAACATCTAATATGTGGGTATCATTTTTGGAAGTTTAGAGTAAACCTATAGGATGAATAAAGAGGTACCTCCTGGGGAGGGATGACTGACCATCAAGACATATCTCACACGGTTTCATCCCACAGCAGTTGGTCTCTGAGCACCTAAGAGCCATATTAACAACTCACAAGAGACTTGTGCAGAAAACCCACGGTGCTAACTTCTTCTTTACATGATACACTTCTGCTTGCTCAACAACACATTCCTTTTCCTGAAATAAATTTACAAGGCAAATCAAATTCTAAACAGAAGATTCCTACCAGGCTTGGAGGCAGCACAAGAGAGCTGGCTGGCTGATCTTCCAGCGGTGTCATCAGATAGACTGGCAATGTGGATTGGATTCTCAGGATGGGCTGGCCCTCTCCCCTGAGGATAGCAGACAGCATTGGCTGTACACTGCCCGCCTTTGCTTCTCCTCTTCTGTAGGTTCTTCATTGACCACACATCCTCTTTCATCACACAATCCTCACTAATCACACCCCACACTGATACGTGTTTCTTAGATATGTTAAATGCATTCAGTCATTTGTAGCTGGCCTTGTCTTGAGAGCCATTATTCTTCAAGTGGTTTCTCTTCGAGGACTTGGTAGGTGCATGCAGCTGAAGTTCCTATATCATTGGCTCAGGCAGAGTTTCCTAAGCCCTCTCAATTCTCTGTGCCTCAGTAGCTCAGTCTTCGTGGCCCCCCTACGCCAAAGCAATAACTAACATTTCACACAACTGAACTTGCATCTGTGTTCAAACAACTTAGTAGCTGTTTGAAAACAATCATACATATACATTAAATATTTTTTCTCTCAATTTTGTTCTTAACTACAACTATCTTAAATCTTGCAATCAGACTAGATATCACCACCTTTATGTCTTGTTCCACATCAATTTTCCTACTGTTTTTGTTTTTTATTTCAGCCAACACCAAACCCCCAGCTCTATAAAGATGCAGCACCATCTACAAGAATATAATGCAATTTAGTGTTGAAATTGGGAAATACTGGGGCTGGGCATGGTGGCTCATGCCTGTAATCCCAACACTTGGGGAGGTTGAGGTGGATGGGTCATCTAAGGTTGGGAGTTCAAGACCAGCCTGGCCAACATGGGAAAACCTGTGTCTACTAAAAATACAAAAATTAGCTGGGTGTGGTGGTGCATGCCTGTAGTCCCAGCTGCTTGGGAGACTGAGGCAGTAGAATTGCTTGAACCTGGGAGGCAGAGGTTGCAGTGAGCTGAGATTGGGTCACTGTACTCTAGCCTGGGCAACAGAGTGAAATTCTATCTCAAAAAAAAAAAAAGAAAAAAAAAATTGGGAATTATCTCAAGCCAGTAGTAGTACATATGATGTCTGACAGATGTCAACTATCACTGTATTTCCCTCAAAAATTTAAAATATTCACAGTGCTCCCATGAGTTTACGGTGGTTCCCGGGGTACCTGTGACACAGTTTGGGGACTTTGGGACTGGAACGTAGTCAAATGGCTACATGTCTGCCAGAGGACTGGGAAATAGAACCTACTGAATTTGGAGGCCTCTGCACTGAATTAAATGTTACTTTTTATATTTTTACTTTCACAGGGATATCTTAAATTGCTATTTATGAATTCTTGAAGAGAAGCTGATGATTGCTTCCTTGTAATAATGATTATTATAATCATGGTCACCATTTTCTTAACAGTTTTATATAATAAGCACTCTGCTAAGGTGCTTCTCATTTGTCTCATCACTTAACCCTCACATACATTTATTCCTATATAATACAGTGGTAGGAAATATATCTATGTATGTGTGTGTGTGTGTGTGTGTGTGTGTGTGTGTCTGTGTGTGTATATATATATATGAAAGAAACACATTAAGTATCTTGCCCAAAATCATATAGCAATTAAGTGGCAAAACGGATTTGAACCAGGCTGTTTGATTTTAGCGTTAACTCTCTTAACCACCATCCAGTTTTACTTTTGACATTTACTGACTGCAAAAATGAAGAGCAATATTACATGTTTGTGTTGGCATTATTTACCATTCTTCCTATGCTAAGTAATTAAATCAGTATTACCTTTTACACAGTAACTGTCTTCAAAGGATTCAAAGATTGAATTCTTACAATGCCCCAGAGCCAGCATGAATGAGAAGAGAGACTTGCTCAAAATAACTCGATTAACTTCTCCCAAATTCTGGTCTTCAATAATATAGGTAGGAAAAGAGGTGACCGATACACTTTCACCCAACTTCCCTGCAGAGGTGAGACACAACAACATTTTGCTAACATCTTGACCACCTGTTTTTGTTGCAGGAGGCCGAGGGGAGGATGGCGCCCCCATCATCACGTTCCCAGAGTTTTCAGGGTTCAAACATATCCCAGATGAAGACTTCCTGAATGTCATGACCTACCTGACCAGCATCCCCAGGTGAGCTGAGCGCAGTGTTCTCTGCCGCCTTAGGCACTAGCTATATTCCACACTTCCTGTGAGGCAGGGCTGGGTTGAGACAGACTTCCATGCACACAGTTTGCCCTGGTGTGTGTAATAACTCAGCTGGCTTCTGTCACCTGTCAGTCACGAACAAGGAATGTGGGAAGTGCCTGGAAAACAATGAAGAACAGTCTCAGTTTTGACTATGTCATGCACACAGGAGGGACAGAATAAACACTGTCAAGTGGAGGGAAAAGTGATGGAGCAACTGTGCTGCCTTTTTCACTATTGCTTTTTGTTTTTTATTTTTGAGATGAAGTCTTGCTCTGTTGCCCAGGCTGGAGTGCAGTGGCGCGGTCTTGGCTCACCGCAACCTCCGCCTCCTGGGTTCAAGCGATTTCCAGCTAAATTTTGGTTTTGTTTAGTGGAGATGGGTTTTCACCATGTTGGCCAGGCTGGTCTCAAACTCCTGACCTCAAGTGATCCGCCTGTCTCGGACTCCCAAAGTGTTAGGATTACAGGCCTGAGCCACCACGGCCAGCCTATAGGCTACTGCTTTAGCTAAAGGTTATTCTGGCTTCCTGGGTTGTGTTGTCTAGCACACATGACCCTTGTTTAAGGAGCCCCAATTGTGTCAGGAATCATTTCTCTCTCCTAAATAAGAAAATTAGGGGCAGATTTTGTCATTGTCAGATGGAGAAACTAAGGCACAGAGCAAGGACTCTGCAAGGCCAGGGGAAAAAGCTGTGCTGGTAGCTGAGCCCATGATAGAAATGCTTTCTGGCATCTGCTCCTTCCAGCCCTTCTGCCTCCCCTCCTTATGCCACTTATGTCAGTACACGCCCAGGTCTTCCAACAGAACAGACTGTGGGCAGAGTCCACACTGGTCACCACATTTCACAGACAGGGCAGAGCGGGGTCCGAAGCCCGTCCTCAGGCAGTGCTGTGTCCACTCTCTAGTGGAGAAGACTTAGTTGGGAAAGGCTTTTCCTGCTTGGGTTTGCGTTGGTGATGACCCCCCACCCCTCCTTGACTATGGTGTGGTTTAGAATGTACACAGTGGCCAGGCGTCTGGTATTTTGTCCGCTTTCCATCTGCCTTATTTTAAGCTAGAGGTAAACAGCAGCTCTGTGACTGGGAGGCCACCTGGAGTCTGATACCACGTGTGGGGTTAGGAAGTTGATTAGAAAGTGCTTTAGCCAAACCCACTTGAAAAATAAGTTTTTTGTTTTTTGAGACGGAGTTTCGCTCTTCTTACCCAGACTGGAGTGCAATGGCACGATCTCGGCTCACTGCAACCTCCGCTTTCTGGGTTCAAGCAAGTGTCCTGCCTCAGCCTCCCAAGTACCTGGGACTACAGGCGCGTACCACCATGCCCAGCTAATTTTTGTATTTTTAGTAGAGACTGGGTTTCACCTTGTTGACCAGGATGGTCTCGATCTCTTGACCTTGTGATCCACCTGCCTTGACCTCCCAAAGTGCTGGGATTACAGGCGTGAGCCACCGCACCTGTCGAAAAATAAGTATTTTCTTTTGCACCTTTTTCTTTCATCCATCTTATTTCTTCAGAGAGGGTTTTGGATTTATTTTTAATGCATTTCTTCAAAATTAGGACTTAAATATATTTCTCCAATTTCCCCTGTCCCCTCCCTGCCACCCCCATATGACATGCGCTAATGTGGCTTTGAGAATGTGGGGACTCCTTTGTTGCTGTGAGGGAGAGAGCACACCTGTCTCGTGGCTTTGCTCAGGTGTTTCTCTGTGGGACACCTCTGCCCTCTTCTAGACCTGATTTCTACACATTCATCAGCCGTCAGCTCTGACCTCACTTCTTTGATGAAACCTTCCCTCACCCCAGTTCTGCTTTCAAAGAACCTTTTTTCAATTTCCACAAAACCCTGAGCTTTGTCTTTGTCTATGGAAATTATTTCTGCCTCTCCCATTAGACTGTGAACTTCTTAAGAGGGTGCTTTGCTTTTCTTCTCTTTCTTTTTAAAAATCTCCAGCCCTAGCACAGTGCCCATCTCATGGTTGGTTTTCAAAGTAATGTAGGTGGAGTTTCCAGTTTTGATAATGATTCCTTCCAAACGGTATTTGTTGTAGGGTGATTAAAGGGTTAAAATATGCTATTCTGTACTGTGCAGCCATAAAAAAGAATGAGTTCATCTCCTTTGCAGGGACATGTATGAAGCTGGAAGCCGTCATCCTCAGTGAACTAACACAGGAGGAGAAAACCAAACACCGCATGTTCTCACTCATAAGTGGGAGTTGAAACATGAGAACTCATGGACGCAGGGAGGGGAACATCACACACCAGGGCCTGTCAGGGGACGGGGGTTAAGAGGAGGGAGAGCATTAGGACAAATACCTAATGCCTGTGGGGCTTAAAACCTAGGTGATAGGTTGATAGGTGCAGCAGACCACCATGGCACATGTATACCTACGTAACAAACCTGCACGTTGTATCCCAGAACTTACAGTAGAATTTTAAAAAATGCCATTCTGGCATATTGACTATTTAAATTAAAAGCACTTGAAACACAGCAGGTACAAGAAGATCACTTTGACCTTTGTGCTGTTTCTCAAGAGCAGAAGATGGAATTTCCATGTGAAAGACTCTCTCGGTACTAGAAGGAAAGGTAATGTCCTTATCTTCGATGAGAAGCTGAAATAGAGAGAATATTGCACAGACCTTGTTAGAAACTCTTATCTTTTAAGCTTCCCCACATAATTTAGTCACATTTTCATCGTTTACTGTTCTTTGTTCAATCCAATATATAGTAACTGACCCTCGCTGATTCTTTGGGTCTTCATTTCTTTATGAGGGTTCTTGTGCCATGTGAAACATTTATGACTTTATGAGGGTTCTTGTGCCATGTGAAACATTTATGAATACATTTCTATGCTTTTTTCATGCCAGTCTGTGTTTTGTTAGTTGAACTCTTGGACCCAGCCCGGACCCTAAGACAGTGGAGGTGATGAAGGTTTTCCACTCCTGCAGTGAGAAGGGGGGCCCTGACAGAGAGGGGAGCCCAGCTCTCCATTCCTGCCTTTGTCAACCTGGGTTTTAAGAAGTCGAACTTGAACTCCCTCTTCAGTCCAGCTGCATTAAAGGAAAATGACCCCTCAGTTTAGCAACTTCTTCTTCTGTGGGAACGGCAGGGAAGAGGGTGAACAGGGACACAGAGAATGGGTGGAAGTGTCCCCTGTCCCTGTTCTCCTTGTATTTGCTTTAAGTTCAATGTCTGGTTTACGTAATCCCCAGGGATGCAGTCAAATGCTGAGTTAAATGGAGGATTTTCATCTTGCATTTGCAGCCTTTTCCAAATCACACTGAGAACAGCTCCGGGAGCGCCCTCCGGACCATGTGGTGAGAAGCAGGGAGGGTCAGCACCTCCGTCTCACAGGCGGAGGTGAGGAGGGCAAATGGGCTACTGTTTTGGATTTCTTTGTTCTACTGTAGGCTCCTTGTACAATTGCTGGGGACCTGGGGAGTATTTTCCTTTCCTAGAATGCTGTTTTGTCTTCTGGGAAAGAGCAGCTGTCTGGCCAGTTGCTCCCCTTTCTTCTGGTTTTTGCTCACACTACTTGCTGCTCCTCCCCTTGTTCCTTTCCACAAAAAGTGGAGACAAAGGGTGAGAAGGCCTGAAGGGGAACTTGACCTGGACCTTGATGTCTAATTTCCATTCCAGAGTCCAAAGAATGAAACCACCCATGTTTATGACTCCCGTTTATCACAATTTGCATCTTTTTGTGTGTCACATGATTATCCGGGACCAGAGTCCTTCCCAGTTGCAAAATGCTTTTTTTTGAGACAGAATTTTGCTCTTGTTGCCCAGGCTGGAGTGCAATGGCACAATCTCAGCTCACCACAACCTCTGCCTCCTGGGTTCAAGCGATTCTCCTGCCTCAGCCTCCTGAGTAGCTGAGATTATAGGCATGCACCACCATGCTCAGGTAATTTTGTATTTTTAGTAGAGATGGGGTTTCTCCATGTTGGTCAGGCTGGTCTCAAACTCCCGACCTCAGGTGATCCTCCTGTCTCAGCCTCCCAAAGTGCTGGGATTACAGGCGTGAGCCACTGCACCCAGCCCTGCTGAATGTTTTGTTTTTTTTTTTGAGACGGAGTTTCGCTGTTGTTACACAGACTGGAGTGCAATGGCACGATCTCGACTCACCGCAACTTCTGCCTCCTGAGTTCAAGTAATTCTCCTGCCTCAGCTGGGATTATAGGCGTGAACTACCACGCCCAGCTAATTTTTGTATTTTTAGTAGAGACGGGTTTTACCATGTCAACCAGGATGGTCTCGATCTGTTGACCTTGTGATCCACCCGCCTCGGCCTCCCAAAGTGCTGGGATTATAGACGTGAGCCACCGCACCCGGCCTTTCTTTTCTTTTCTTTTTTTGAGATGGAGTCTCGCACTGTCACCCAGGCTGGAGTGCAATGCCGAGATCTCGGCTCACTGCAACCTCTGCCCCCACCCAACCCGGATTCAAGCGATTCTCCTGCTTCAGCCTCCCAAGTAGCTGGGATTACAGGTATCTGCCACCACTCCTGGCTAATACTTTGTATTTTTAGTAGAGATGGGGTTTTACTATGTTGGCCAGGCTCGTCTCGAACTCCTGACCTTGTGATCTGCCCGCCTCAGTCTCCCAAAGAAGTGTCTATTTGTTCAAGTCCACTTTTATGTCTTTCAGGAATGTTTACAATTTTTTTTTTTTGAGACAGAGTTTCGCTCCTGTTACCCAGACTGGAGTGCAATCGAGCGATCTCGGCTCACTGCAACCTCCGCCTCCTGGGTTCAGGCATTTCTCCTACCTCAGCCTCCTGAGTAGCTGGGATTACAGGCACGCGCCACCATGCCCAGCTAATTTTTTTGTATTTTTAGTAGAGACAGGGTTTCACCATGTTGACCAGGATGGTCTCAATCTCTTAACTTCGTGATCCACCCACCTCGGCCTCCCAAAGTGCTGGGATTATAGGCTTGAGCCACC